ACTCTCTCTCTCTCTCTCTCTCTCTCTCTCTCTCTCTCTCTCTCTCTCTCTCTCTCCAAATGATGTGGATTAATAAATGATGTGAAAAACAATTGTTTTCAGTCCTTCACTGACTTATGAAGAGATTGTGAATCAGAGTTATGACCGATTGAAATGCGATTACGAAAACTGTGGCAAAAGTTTCTTCACTCAAAGCCGATTAAATTTACACATTAGGCTAAGACATGCCATCAAAGACAACACACAGTTCGGGGAACCGATCGGCAGATCATCTCATGTCAGACACCAGTCATTGAGTGCAGCACTCGATGACAGACAACAGATGCAAGTAATCACTACCACTGAGCCATCACTGGCGACAACCAGCACCACTTTCAATCCCGACAGCCAATCGCTGGACAATAAGCGACATAAGTATGTAATAAATGTCTATATTTTATGAATTGATTGATATTTTGTTTAACATTCAAGTGATTCGGACTCTGATATCGAACTCATTGGTAGAGTTCCGGCGCCCAAACGGCCCGCACGTAACCGATCGCCCGTTGATATCAAGCCATCGCTCATAGATTCCATACCTCTGGTGCCGGAAATAGTCAACCGATCGCTGATTGACATAAAGCCCGTGATAAACACCAGCCCTCCGGAGTCGTCAACTGTCCATAAGTAGTGCTATAATAGTAATTGTATTAATAATTAATTATATATTTTAAGCTCACCTCTCGTTACAACAACTACTGGTGCCGGTAATGAGCGCTCACATGAGTTAGGGTTGGATATACACCGCTGTCCTGAAAGTAATACTAGTAATAAGGAAACACTGGTTCCGTCGACGACCACCACTACTGTCATCAGTTCGGGCCCTACAGTGGCTTCCAGTGAGAAGCCATACAAATGCGATAAATGCGGTCAGAGTTACGGTCGCGACCGAGAGCTCAAACAACACCGGGAGCTCCGACACGGCGTACGCGAGCCGTACCGATGCCATCAACGCGACCGCCGGTACGACAAAGAGTCACAATTGACGGCACACATGCGGGACAATCGCAGCGCGCGGGTCCGTCGCTACCGGTGCCCATACCCGCAGTGCGACCGGCGGTTTAAATCGCCGCGGCTTCTCGAGGAGCACCGTCTCAGAGCCCACTGTCCCTATCGATGCGATTACAAGCCCTGCGACCGGAGGTGCGACACCAGTATTAGCCTACGCGCGCACCGTCAGTCGTGTAGGTATCGGCCCGAAAAGCCCCAAAGAGTAAGCATTAAATCAATTAATTATTTTATTAATCATTTTATTTTTGTAATCAAAAAGTTATTAATTTTTATAAATTTATGTTTATTTAATGGAAAAGACATTCAAATGCAATGAAGAAGATTGTGGTGAAAATTTCAACGCAAAAGCGGATCTAATTCGACACAAACGTACTCATCGTTTCGGGAGAGAAACCAGTTGTTCGTCATTACAATCATTGTAACAATATTTCTGTCGAGCGATGGTTACCTTTTTAAGTGACTAGATCTTAATAAAAGACCACTAATTGTGTAGTTTAGGCCAAATAAAAACTATAGATTAAATATCTTGGGCTGATACCAATAAACGACCGAGATATGACCATTTTTGTGATGGTGCTCATACGGCGTATGGCAATGCAGTACTGGTGATTAGCTCAAGCTCTGTGAAACATCATTTTTTAATGCTATAATACACAATTAGTGGCCTTTTATTAAGATCTAGTCCATCGATGAGCTCGAATACGTTTTTTCCACAAAAAATGTTTTGAGCCAATCATTATAAACGTTATAATGTTTGACTAAATATTGTTCCCTTGAATTGAATGCATACTCATATTATTCACCCCTTCCTTTCTGTGACTATAACACTATGTATGAACAGTTGCACTCTATATAATCACATTTGCCCGTAGATTTGCCCCTCAGCTCATCTATGGTCTAGTCACTTAAAAAGGTAACCATTCTATGTGTGAAAAATTAAAGTTTCGGTTCGTTTATAAGTTATAAATTTTAACTTTTACTACAAAAATTACTTTTAAAGCCTATATTTGCAATAAAATTGTCCACTTTTTAGTTTTAAATCATGTTATTTTTTCACCATAGTAAGTAAAAGACGCGTTAAATACGTGTATTTTTGTATTTTATAATGTAAATTACGTAGCTTCAAAAATTGTTTGATAATTTATCAATTTTAGTTAAAATTACGATTGCATTAATTTAGATAATTTTTTCAGTTAGAAATTATTTTTTTTTATAATAATATCCATTTGTTTTGTGACAATAATTTTACAAATAATAATCCCTCCAAAAGCCATCACAAGTGCTAAGAAAGGGATTATCCAATACTCGGCTCGTATTCACTGGATTCAAGTCTTTCACATTAATTGTATTGTTAGCCAACAATTGCGGCCAATTATCGTCGGGTTTGCTAAACACAACGCAAACATTAAATACAATTAAATAAAACTCAATAACAAAACAAATTACCCGTATTTCGCGAAATTAGTCCACATCTCCATTATATGACGGCTAAACCGGATGTCGTCGGGTGTGGCCATATCGGGCATATGGAATGGTATGCCAAACACATAGGTCATGTCAGTGGCGTGACAAACGCCCTTGGTGGCGATGTCACAGTTACACAGTTTGGCCATCACCGGGCTAACATAAGTGAGCTGGTAGAAATAAACATTATGCGCGTTCGCCTTAACGTTACGGGCAAACTGTTTGGCAAACATATATGTGGGACACGTGATAGTGAGATGGCCTGTCAAGTCGTAAAATGCCCACCGGAGGGCCGATTCGCTGGAAGTGTTAACACCCTTAAGGTAAAATGTAACCGTTTTATCCGGGTCTATACCCGGGTAAAAACAGTCCTTAAATTCTTGTGTGCATTCTTTGAAAGCATCAAGAGTCATCTCGCTCACTTTATATAATAATAGCATGGACAGTTTTGAGCCCTCATCGTGTGTCACGCCCGCCATTATATCGATATCTAAACATCCAAATTAATGATTATATTGGTTCACCTTATTATAATACAGTATTATTAATATTAGTGTGTTTACCATGGTTATATTTCATAGTTTCAAATGCATTTTGAGCCCTGAGTGGCAAAAATTGATCGCCAGTTAAGGGAAA